GTAAGTAAGTAACTTTATTGCTTCTCTATTATAACAGAGGCACAGCCGTAAAGACGTGCAACAAAATAACAAAATCAGTAAAAACTTAATAAATAATATTTCAGTGAAAGTTAAGAGTTGGTAAGTGTTATAGCAAGTCAGTAGTTTGATATTAAGGTGGTTTTTTTATCAGGCCTAGTGAAACCAGACAATGTTTCTTGAGTTTAGGTGCATTTGCGTAACTGAGGACAAAACCTCTCTTTGGTTTCAAGTATTTATATTAGAAAAAATTGTGAGGTCTCCAAGAAGACACTAAAGGCCAAAATGAGAAGGTCACTGGAGAATAGACCATTAGCGTTCAATTGTTGATAGATGTCTTTTTGTCACTATTATGAGAAACAAAAAAGTGAAATTCATATGGTTTCATTCAAATTAACCACCATCAAAATTACGCTTTTTGTTTTTATAAGAACACATTTTATAACAACTAAGGCTGAAATTGCTTAAAAATTAAGAACAAAATAAGAACAAATTGAGGCCGAGTTAAAATGTCAACTGAGTTTTTTTTTTTTTTAATATAAAAACCCAACAAATTTTATCTATACCTTATGTGCGGTAGGTGTGACTATGTAATATTATATACGCGGTACCTCATACATAGATTCTAGGCGTCTGAGAGGTTAAAGAAGCTGGCTATTCCCATTAAAAAGTATTATTCCCCTGAAAAATAGTACTTTTTTGACCTGTCGCGTGGTGCAAACTTTATGCCCACCATCGCGCTGATGGTAGAGGGACTGCAACCTTTACGATGAAAGAGATTGGCCTTGACCGCACCACGGATCAGCGAGTAGACGATAAACAACAATTATGGAGGCTGTCGGTTCGATAGGCTACGATCTCCACATCACCTCGGGCCAATAGATTTCACTATTCCGCTCATGAGCACGTCAATATTTGTATACTATACAATACCCTCTTCATTACAGTACAGTGATATTCTGGTGTAAAATAATAATTTTCGATGTTTGAAAAGTGTGTAAAAATATAAACAAAATAAGAACATTTTGAGCGTGAAATCTGCATAAAAATAAGAACACTGAGCCTGGGAAAAATTGTACTGGTTCTTAAAAAAAAGTTGTACCATCATTATCACCATTCTCAGTGTAATTATCATTCCAGTATATTACCACCATTATTATTATTGTCTTCATTAACATCATTGCCATCATTGATGGTGCCAATGGAGGGTGTTGAGGCCCCAGTTGGTGAAGACCGTCAGAAAGAAAAAAATGTCCTTGACAGAATTCTGATGGTAGAGTGTCCATGACACATTACTGTATACTCAAAAAGGAAGGTCATTCCCGATAGTGACCTCTGACAGATTGGAATTTATTTATTCGATAACACCAACGATAAGCCACGGAAATCCAAAGAATTTCTTCCAGTGGGGGGGGGGGGGTTCTTGTGGTGATTGGGCAGTACACCATAAGAGAATCCCCAACTCTTTTTTGAAGAGTGTACTATGTCCTTTAACGTGCACATGAGACATTATTGCACACAGGATCAGCAGCTTAAACATCTCATCCGAAAGACGGTGCACTTTTCTACACTTGCATCAGTGGCGGCTCTAGGATATATTTTCTGGGGGGCTGAGCTGTCCGACAGGGGGACTTGGGCTGGTAGGCCCGAGCTGGTTCCCCCTCCCAAATGAGATTTTTTTAAGAATAGGAACCTCTGGATGGCCACAAATAACACTCTCTAATTGAGACAGACATGTGTTGGCTTGGTGTGGGCCTATTTTTATATATTTTTTAGTCCGATTGCCTGACGAGCTTTGTCTAATGGGGGGGGGGAGGCTTGACCTGTTTCCTCCCTCCCCCCCTCCTGGTGCTGCCACAAACTTGCATGCCTGACTGTTAGCTAAAACACAAAGAGCACAGCGGATAGAATTGAACAGTGTACCAATCTCCTCAGTTCAGTGCACACACAGTGGCTACCACTGTTAGCCAACTGAGCTATGTTGCTCTCCATTCTTCATGCTTTACAATTAAATAGCTCCACCTGTGTTGGTCTACAGGTATGTTATAACATACTCAGAAATTTAGAAATAATCGCCATCAAGATCATTATCATTATTATATTATCATGATCATCATATCATCATCATTGTCGTCACCATTATCATCATCATCATCATTATCATCATCATTGTCGTCACCATTATCATCATTATCATCATCGTTGTCGTCATCAGATTTCTATTCTAATGCTGCCAGAAGCTGTGGTAAACCACAGCCACAGTTGTTCCTTATGTGCAGAATGCATCGCAGTAATCTCCACAACCTTCACATTTACTATTCTGCTGTTGTTATAAAGCAGGAATGGCATTTTTCTCGTCCCGTCTTGTTTCAGCTTCATTTTTCGTGATGTGTATTTGCCGATAATCGGGAACATGATGAAGTGGAATCAATTGGTTTTTCTCCATAGATTTAGAGAGGCATTGGCACTGCCCAGTCATACTTGAAATCATACAGACTACTATTAAATTAACCTGCCCTAGTTACAATAGCTGACATTGATATTGTACAGTTTTGTATGCCACAAAACTAGGTTAGACTGGGGAAATTATTATTATAGGATGGGGGAATCATTAATTTATAGGGATGTATTATGAAAGGAAGGGGACGTATAATGAAACGATGGAGAAGTATAATAAAATATGGGAAAGCATTAAAGAAGGATGGGGAAATATTACAAATAGCTGGGAGAAGCATTACTAAATGCTGGGGTAGCATTACAGAAGGCTGGGGGTAGTATTACAAAAATCTAGGGATGCATTACAGAAGGCTGGGAATTATTATAATAGGCTGGGGAAACATAAAGGCTTGGGAAAAATTGTAATGCTTAAAAACCATACTGTTATTTGTTATGTGAAAATAGTACAACCTACAGTAGGTCTCCTTCCAATTAAAGGCTACTTTTGGGACAGGTTTTCCATGGTCTTTAGCAGCTTTGGTCCCTAATTAGAATAATAAAGATTAAAGACAGTTATAAATTTAGGACCACAGAAAAGTGGTCTATACTTGGAGGGGTCTTTAATTAGTAGACCTTTACTTACAATGGTGGCGCTATATAAGCATGGCAATGGGGTAATGAATTTAAACATCAGTAAAATCTTATTTTGTATATAAAATGTACTGTAGTTAAGCTTATATTTCAAGGTCTTCCATTGAAAACCAGCATAATACTGTAGCTGAGTGGAACACCCTGCTTAGAAATCAATGAAGAAAGCAAAAAAAATTAAATCCTGCCTTTTAGCATGGATTGAACCTATGATCCTTAGCTTATAAGGTGAGCACCTTAATTACTCACATAAAAACAACAGATTGCAAAGTAGATCAAACCTGAAGAAGGTGAAGAAGTCAACGACGACTTTATTAGCTTTGTCATAATTTTTTCCCCCGTTCTATTAGTCATGGTCATGCATTTTATCCCCCGAGTGCAGATTGATAACTTTATGAATAATCTTCCATGTGAAATTAAAACCTGCTTCAGGAAGAATAACTTTAAATCAAAAGTTTCTTAAGGGACAAACTGGTTACAGGCAAGGAGTCAGTATCTATTACATTTTTATTTTAATTTTTTTCCTGCACTGATTTTGTAGTACATTGTAGTTTTGTATTTTAGACTAAATAGTTGGTTATCGGAGTTTTATAATTTTTACTAAAACAAAATCAATGATCAGTCAATTAATAAATGATTAAAATGGCATTGCCAACCAGATAAGCTTAAATTCTGCTATAGAGTGTTAAATGTTTTAAAAGGGTTGCCAAATTTATTGTTTAATTCACATTACTGTAGAAATGGTGTCCCAACAAAGACATACAGGCATTTGTTTTGGATTTGCAAGATTTTAATATATTTATTTATTTATTCTTTGTATGAATAAACAGTATAAACTTAGATTAAAGATAAAAGAAGATACTTGAATATCATTAACATGTTACATTTTAAAAAAGAAACTTTCCATGTAGAAATGCATTATGAATCTATATTATAATTTTTCTTATTTCAAAGTCTATAGGCATAATGGACTTACCGAGGGTCTCAAAAAATGTATGGGATTAGAAACCTACCGATCTGAAAAACTATAACATAGATCATCGAAGTCTCCATCTACTGTAATGAAGTGAATACAATTCCGTATTTCAGCTTAATTGAGGGAAAATAATGACTTTTACAGTCATTTTTCACTGAATTTTTAGCTGTTTAGTACACATGGCCTGTCGGATGGCATGTGTGGTTTTTATCTGGAAAGCCTAAAGACCAACATTATTTGTACGTACTTCTGTGTCGGGATTTTAAATTGAATGCCAAAAAGGCAACAATCAAACACAGTCAATTTTCAAGCACACTCGGTTTTCAAGCACAGTCGGTTTTCAAGCACAGTCGGTTAACAAACACAGTCAGTTTTTGGCTTCTCAATGAGTTACAGTAAACCTTGCTTTAGCTGCCCTTTTTAGGTTATGAAAAATCATATGGAACTGCTATCAAAACCTGTATCTTAACTACCACTAAATTTCTTACATTAAGTAAAGAAAATTACATTTTAATTACATTAAGTAAAGTTATTGAAAAAGTGCCACATCTAGTCCCAAGTGCATAGAGACCTCATTTATTTGCGCTATATAAATCCATCTATTATTATTATTATTATTTAAAATAACTGAGCGAGATAACATGCAAAATATATTCCTTTAGTGGTCCTATTGTTCTTTTTATTTTATCGAAATTGCCACGTTGACCTACTAGAGGGTAAGCGAGCAATCTAGTATGTAAAATTGCAATATAAAACAATTAGTGAAATAGCGAAATAGCACATAAACCTATCAAAGACTGAGGGCTCAGAATGTTTACATCTAAAACAAGTATAACAGGATAAATGGTTACTGTAATGTTTTTTATTTTATTTCATGTGAGATTCATTTTGATCAGACTTTTCTTTCCTGTTTATCATTTAGGATCTCCAATCCGAGGCTGAAAGAATATGCCAGACGAATATAGTAGTGTGCACTCCTGGACGATTACTGCAACATATGGATGAGACTGCAAACTTTGAATGTTCCAATCTTAAAATTCTTGGTAGGAAAACTAATGTTATTTTCTTCTAAATATTTTCATTTGATATTTCCATAAATTTATTGTTATAAAAACGTTATGAAAACGTACCAGTATTTTTTCCATTTTTTTTCGTAGTTTCTGATTTATGGATGATATTTGTGTCAATTTATCGAAAATATTTAACAATAAGTTATTTCTATTTACTCTAGTTATTTCTGATTCTTAGTAACAAAACTATGCTAACTGTGATATTTATATTTATCTGTTTTCGTATTCTTGTTTCTTAGGTCATTCACCTTTAATTCTTAGAATGATAACAATGATACAAATGGAGAATTACATTTTTGTTTGTTTCCTTGAGTTTACATCAGTAGCCATGCTTCAGCGGCATCCAGTCTCTTTATCTATTATGTGACTTAACCATCCTGACAGTGGTTTGAAGTTGGTAGAGTGTGACTGTGTTGGTGTACATTATGCTCATAGTTCTAAATCTTACATAACTTTTGTTGAAATATTCTTTTACAATTTTATAGTGCAAAAAATTAATTATTCTTGAAAAAGCTTTTTCAATACAACTCAGTAAAGGTCTCCCGAGAGGTCCAACATCAAGAAAGCTTTAGTTGTGAGAAGTAAATTCTAAATTGAAAACCCACCACTTCTACTACTACTGTCCACCACTTTAGCACCTAGAAGTTTGGTGTGCTGTACACATAATAGGCACTTTACACAAGAGGACTGGGAGCCGTCGACAATGTCAATTCGGGTTAAGTGCCGTATTGTTTACTGTGGTCTTCACGCTCTGATAAGCACAAAACCACCGTCCACCCATCTTTCCGTCATGTTGCGTAAAGTATACTATGAAAACTAAACAGGGGTCTCGAGTCTACCATGAGTCGAGGGAGTCTCACAGTCACAGAAATTTTCCACAATCTCCTTCACTCCCCCAAGCAAGCATAAATCATCTGCAAACTAACAAATTCAACACAAAAGTATAATGTCTGAAGTTTTTTGCTACTGTATTTATTTTGTCAACTCAACTGAAGTCAGATGGCCATGAGTATCACCATGCTCAAAGTACAATTAGCTGTGTTAATGAAGCTCATTAGCATAATTGTCTTCTCCCAACTTGGAAATCCTACCAATCAAATTTAGAAACATCTTCAGTGAGAAAGAAGCATATGTAGCATACCATAGATCGGGGAGTGGGGTGGGCTTAAAAATGGGTAGAAGAGCCAACGTAAATTTTTGCTTCACTCAAGCTAGCTTCCAGTGTGCTTACAAAAACTTGCATGCACTGTTTGTATACCGCTTATGCTCTGGTTTTATATTACTACTGCAATTTTTACAGATGATTGACGACAAGCCATAAAAACAAGAGGTTTTCTAGTCAAAGATTGTAGGCAGGACGCACACTAGGGATTTTGATTAATTTTTTTCAGGACTCAACAAAATTGCCATCTGGCCACAGGTGGCTCGTGGACCGCATTTCACCCAACTGTATTTTAGATATAAATATGCTTCTGCTCTGACAGTTACTAATACTTTTACAACTGCTGTACGTGTACATACATTTACATTAGCACATTAAGTCTAATTATAAAACTGAGGAAGAAATAACGAAATTGATTTCAATTAGTGTTGACAAGTAATTTTTGATGATAAATGATTATTCGAAATGCATCGTGAGCTTATTCAAATTTATTTAGAATTATGATAAATTATGATATTTTGGATTTAAGCCAATGTCAGTAATTGCATGAATAACATTTATTAAAATGAATTATGAAGTTTTAATGAAATTCATTGTAAATTATTAATACTTAGGTTCATTGAAATATAACAAACTAATTATATACTTCATCTTTCGTAAATTTTTACATAAGATAGCAATGCATTGTGGGTATGTTATCCTTGGGGTGCAGTAGGCCTCGTACGGATTCAGAACTAAATAATTATTGTTTTCTATTTCAGTCCTTGATGAGGCTGATCGAATACTTGACCTCGGATTTGAGAAAACCATGAATGCGATTATTGAGAACATACCAAACGATAGGCAAACGCTTTTGTTCTCAGCCACGCAAACCAAGTAAGTTACTTTAGCCTTGTGCCAATTTCACATGTTGTGAAGTTTTTTTTTGCATGCGTTGATTATTCTCTCTCAACCGGTTTTTCTATTAACTGTGCAGGTTCGCTTATCATTTGAGTAATGTCTCCACTTAACTATACAACCTGCCCTCTAGTTTACCTTCTTCAAAATTTTTGCAGTAATTATCATAGTGGATTAAAATGTTGTGAACAAGAAACATAATGGGGTTGAGGGCAGTGTGTATGATTTGACGCTTGATTATGTATTCTCTTGCAGATCAGTGCGTGATCTAGCAAGGTTGAGTTTGAAGGACCCAAAGTTTATCTCTGTGCATCACCACCATGAGTTCAGTACACCTGTACAGTTAGAACAGGTAACTATGTTATCTGTAGTTATGTTCAGACGACCTTCCATCTGAAGTAAAGTTACTCGGACATAAAATATTATGCGCACGTTACTTCTGACGAGCGTTGACATGATGTTTACCCAGGGCATAATGCTATTTTTACCTAAAAGCTAGTTCAGAGCTTAGAAGTACCCCTAGGCAAATTTTCCAAGTGATAATTGCCACTTGTCTCTCAACGGTGATTTTGCACACAAATTCTTGAAATTGTAAACAATTATGGAAACATTGTGTCTACAAAGGTTTAAACATTACTGGAAATGTTATTTTAGTGCTCATTTGTAATTATCTTTTGAAAAAAATTGGGATCATAAAAAAAGTTGTATTAACTTGCGAGCTCTGAAGTAAGTGCATCTACACGTCGCTACCCTGAGTACGTGTTCCTTGCATTTCTTGTGTACTTCAAAGTAGCACACTTACTCCTGAGACTGCTCAGGAGTAAATCGTTTGCTGTAACGTTGAAGTAACTTAATACAAAGAGTGTCTTCACGGGCACTACCCAAGGCTTACAACAAGTAAACTGCTACTTCAAAGCTTACTTCTAACTCATCAGAATGTGCCTTATATGAAAATGCTGACATGACTTTAATTTTCAATTCAATTCAAGTGCCTTCTTGGGTCAATATAACACAAACACAATACAATTGTAAGTATGCATCATAGGGTAGGGCCGTCACACCACTAAGTTCGAATGACCCGCATACGCCACCCTAAACAAAGTATGCTTTTTGGGGTAGGGGCATTCTCTGTGATTTAATACTTCTGGAAACTTCAAAGGGTCTTTTAGGTCAACATATTTTAGTTTATATTTTAGTTATAATATAAAAGGTAAAACAAGAACCCCATAACTTGTGGCATCAATGTGCTGAATTACTTTTTAACAGGGTTTTGTTAATTCTTAACAGCTATTAGTAGAGTTTCACGTTCACATCATTCCACAATTACAGGGACCAAAAGGTGCGATGGATTCACTCAAATTTTCAAAGTTCTTACGAACGGAACACAGGGCGAGGAGCATCTCATTCCACCGCTAATGTTAAGGCTGTTAGCAGCGCCTCCATCTTACTACTCAGCCTTTCAACTATATGAAAATAATATGTCAGTACAATTTTAAAGGTTCTCTGATCACTAAATTATATAATATAGAAAAAATTTTGGAGTAAAATCGAACTGTGCTGTATATAGTCATAATTGCTGCGAAGCAGCCAATTCATATTCTTGACAGCAATTTGACCTCTGAAAGGTCATTGTTTGTCAAAAAACAAGCGCCTAAGACGACTGAAAAGCGGAGTTTCTTCTTTCGTTCTGCCGGGTAAAATCAATTACTTTAGGCGACGTTTGTAGACTAACCAACACGTGCCAACCTAAGTCTAGACTAGCTAGGATGGTATAGTCCTAGCCTTGAAGGGACGAAGGTCCCAATGAAAAACAACGTCGCTCCTTGATAGCTAACATTGTCTATTTAACATCACAATGATTCATTATTAGACCTATAGTTGTTTTTTGAATTGTACTCCACAAATCTCAGCCGATAACCTCGCACAACTCGAGTAACGTCTCGTATCTATTGTCGTGACGTCATGGCTCGCTGGCTCACACTTGCGATGTCTCGCACTTGTGATCAAATAACACGCTGGCTCGCACTTTGGCAACACTCTTTGGCAGTAAACTCGCCCCTAGAAAACCCACCCTTGGAAACTTGCTCCATTAAAAAATGTACACTTCCTAGACCATGCAGTCTTCAAAATAAAAATTGTCACCTTTGGTAATCAACTACATTTTCCACATACATAGAAATTTTTGAAACTTTATTAAAAAAAACCTAAACCATAATTCACCACTATAGACACTTTTTGAGAAAAATGAAAAATTACGACTTTGTTACCCAATGAGAAGTGTTCTAATATAGACAATGGGTCGTGTCCCATATTATTTGTTATATTTTTATTATTCATTAATTTCACTTGACTCGCATAAATAATTTTGTTCGAAGAACATTTATATGCAGTTGTACTTCGCAGCACTTCACTTGCAATTTGCAATTTCTAGTTATATTACCCTTGAAAACCTTTTTTAATTGAAAATATATTGTAATGTAATAAGATTATTCTAAAAAGTTGAATATTTTAAAAATAGTAAATTACAACAGGACAAACACAACGGATATAATCAACCATACAATGTATCAAAACTGACATTGATAGCTTAAGCCTAGATATACATATAAAGTATTACAACAATAGTATGTAACATGCAGCAGATATAGTGCGCATTGATAAAACGGAAAACGTGTAAGACTATCATACACGGGTATTACCGGTGAAGTTGTAAGCAATTGTAAATTTTCCACCATTAATGCTTTAAACTCCAAAGTGGGATTAGCCTCTAAATTACATTCTTGAATGCACAATGGTGAATTCAATTCCTACTCATCCCTGATGGGCTTTTTTCTTTTTCCACAATGTGATGATAAACAGGATTCTATTGACTAAGACTGTAAGTCAATGTCAAATAAATTAAATAAAGACCAATAAAAATGTGCTCAGGTGAAGGCCGCAGTATTGTGACTGTATATCTTTTGTAATGTAAATATTAATGATATACTGTTTGGTAATAAAATCTGTAAAAACTCTCAAACATTCAATTATGACAATTAATTTAAGATCAAATAAGTTAATTTTCTAGGCGACACTGTCTGCCATCCAAAGAATAAGGGTGTATGCATTTACGCAATTGCTCGACAATGCGATTGCTTGACAGCTTTCAATAATAATTCCAGCTACTGTAACCTTCCATTGGGCGTACACTGTAGGCCCTACTGTATCTTAATGTTTTGCTTGTGTAGACAAGCTTAATTCTCCAAAGCATAGGAAAGAGCCCGATTTACAGATTGAAATATATTTGTGTGCAGTCGATTTAAATACTTGTCTCCCTCCAATTCAAGATCACTTTTGGGACTGGGGTTTCCATGGATTTTAGTAGCTAGCTTTGGTCTCTAATTAGAATAGTAAAGTGGTCTTTTAATTGGGATTGTTAATTAAAAGTAAGCTATTTGACTGAGGATAAATCAAACTACAGTATAGATACAATATGATGATTTCAATGAAGGGCTCATAAAAATGTGTTAATTCTTTTTATTAAATAGTTTAAATGAAGAAGCTAGCACTGTACAGTACCATATAGCCTAGATTGCTTTTGTATGTAGAGTTATCTAACCTATGTTTTGTTTCTGTACCTTTTTGCTAGTGGCATTACGGTATTTTACTTGATCTTGATCCTGTTATACTATCTAAAACCAGATTATTTAAATTTTACTAGAATATGAGAATTCCATAATTTATTAGCTAGTATTCGGCGTTTTGGCGTTTAAACCTTTCAGGTACTCGCTTCGTAGGTCGTTTACTTTGTCCAATTCCAAGGTTTCGAGCCCAATCGCAAATACCGTGCCAAGCTGTTTCCTGCTGGTAACACCCAATCCACGCACACTAAAGCAGAGAAAAAAGAAAATTACCGGTAGTATCTATTTCAGCGAGTGTTTAAAATGTTAAAAAAATAATGTTTTAAACTAAAAACTAAAATGAAAAAATGAAACAAGCTGGTACTGGACGTTGACAATTATGATAGAAGCTTCTGTGAAATAGTGTATTTTTATCCTGGTGTATATTGGGGTGAAGGCTGAAAAATGAACTAATAGCTTACTGTACAGTATGTTAGATTTTAAAGTGGTGGTCAAAATTCAACGTTATTTTACTGACGATGATAGACTACATTGTGTAACATTTATATAAATGTTACTCTCTTGAAGTCGTTATTTTACCTGGGGTTGACGTCCTTCCGGGAGGGTAACATTCATTACTTGAGTTGAACCTTAACGGCAACAGTTCACGGGCATTGATGTGATCGATAATAGCTATGCTTCACTTTCGTGCAATAACATGTTCAACAATTACTGCCCATGACCTTGATAGCGAGAAATTTAATAGATAGCTGATAACATTACTTAAACTCACTTAGAGTAACTGTCCCCGTTTGTCGTATATTATGTATATCGCGTACACGACACTAAAATATTCGGCAGGCAAGATTGGTTATGAATGAGGATTAGAGGTACAAAATACCAGTAACAGGGTAGGGAGCTCAGGATGTTGACATTCATAGGTGGATGAAAACAAGCGCCAGGAATTCTTGTGTATACTGCTACTTTAATATTTAACATTGCCTGTTCCAGAGGATTCCCTAAGACTGAGAATTTAGCAGCGGACATAAATTTGATGACAGGATTTGGGGAGGAAGGTAGTATGATGCCTTAGGACTGTAAACAAGTCTTAAATGAAGAAATTAACAGTCAAGGATGAATTTCATAAGAGAAGAAGATTTCACATGTGTGGAAAACAAAACGATAAAAAGTAGTAACTGCCAATATACATAAATTATTGTGTTGTAATAGTAGCAGTGGTACAGATAATTTAGTGATTTTTTTTTTTATTAAAGCATTTGAAATAAATAATATATTTGTTTTAAATTATCAGATAAATATATAGAAAATAAGTAAATCAAAATAAGTTGTACTTAACTTTTTATATTAATAATATATTTATACAAATTTTCTCTTAATAATAATATAGTTTACAGTTTTTGTCTCATTATCTCTTCCTTTTTTTTTTGTTGTTCTTTTCACCTTTTTTACATTACTTTTTAATTTCCCCTTTTCACCTCTTTCTTCATCTTTTGTGTACTTCTTCATTTACCTTCTTTCACCTTCTCCTCTACTCAGAAACCTTTGGTTTATTCCCAGTCTTCTTTATACCTTAGCCATCATCAGCACCTATATTCATTTCACCATATTTTCTTCAACTTCACTTTCTTCTTCATCTTCTTTGCCTATTTCAATTCACTTTCACATCTTCTGCTTTCACATTTCACCTTCCTGCCTATGCAGGGGTGTTTGGTGCAGCTATTCGGTTTCTCAA